ATTGATTATTTTCTTTCTTTTTATTGTTATTGTTATTTAGTAATTTTTATATTTAAAATAGAAATAATTTCCTAAATGAGTAATATAATGTTGAAATAATATTGTATAATTTTTAATTTAATTTGAATTATTTTAATAATTTATTTGGCTATAGTAATGGAAAATTATCCAGAACATCATATCTATAAATAATATAACACGTCATTGATAAATGGACGGATAAAAATTAGACGATATCGAATAAACATATTATCTGTTAAAGAAATATTAAATGTTTAAGGTTAATTTTGTACAAAGAACAAAAATTTTTTATATAAGAGAATACTTGCTGGTTTTTCATTTATTTAAATATTCCCGACGGAATTACGCTCGATAATCATAACACGGCAGGCTATATTGTGCGCGTTGTTATTTCTTGGCCCGATAGCGTGGTGCGCGACGTCGTTGTCGAGCTGTTTTTCGTAGTTGGCGATCTCGCCGGTAGGCGCCGCACCGATCGAGTCCCCTTTCGAAAATAACACACGGCCGGTTGACGTCATGTTGTCATGACTGCCGACCGCCGGCACCAACATTGACTCGATGTCGTTCTTCTAGTGCCTGAACAGCGCAGAAAATTTGCACCAACATGAATTGATTACATTTATCTGCTATACAGTTTTGAATTCAAGATAAATTAAAATTTCATAAACTTTATGATGCATCGTTTAATATTGCATCGATTATTTTTTCAGTTAATATTATAAAATAAAATATAAAGGGAATATTAGAAATTTATTTTTTATATTGATTTTTTTATATTATCTCTTTCTCTTCTCTTTCTTTTATCTATTTTTTGTTTTTGTATTCACTTTTAATGTATATATATGAAAATATATTTTATTATTTTATGCTTTCATGAAATTATTATCAAAACGATTATATGTTATTATGTTGGTATAACTGAGTTAATGATCTAACCTCTAAAGAAGCAACACTTTTGAATATTTTTCGTTACTAAATATGCAAAGCTGCACTGAGTATTCTGGAGCATTTGAATTCAAAAATGGATTTGAATATTCAATCTTATAGTTTCATCGTTTCAATGTATTCGCGCATGTCTAGCATACACACATATATATGTAGCTTAGGAATGTACGACGCCACACACTAACTGGTTTTATCTACGGGGCTCCGATGGCTTCGTGTGTGTTCGTTCTTTGGCTGACTAGATAGCTTTGACTCGTGTAACAAACATTACCTCATCGTCAGGCATAGCCGGATCCACAACGAACCTTCTCTACTTTTGATTGTTGTCTCGCATCTTTTCTGTGTTTACTTATTAGTTGTAAAAATAAAATGAAATTGAACTTATTCAAAATAAATGTATTTACAGATTTACTATTCAAATAAAAAATAACATTTGAATTAATACTTACATATTGAAATTATTCTCTTTATTTTTTCTATTTAATTAAATTTTTTATTTTTATTTAACTTATATTTTTATTATTTTTGTTTTATTTTCTATGTCAACTGTAATTTTACTATAATTTTATTAAAAGTAATGTAAAAACAGATTTTATTAATCTTTTCATGTTATATATATATGTTATAATTTGTCTAGATAGACTTCACGCAGTGAACATTATCTTATTGCGAGCACGGTCGTCATGAATCTTTTCTAGTTCTGGTACTTCTCTCACGTTTATTCCATTGACCTACATTCCTGATGATAAAACAGGAATTGGAGCAAATTTGTTTATGAAAATTCCCTCACTAAAGTTTCTATAAAATTTATTAATAATTATTATTTGATAATAATTATTTAGAGAAATATTCTTATAATTTTTCAAAAATATTATTTATTTATTTATATTTAATAAATTTAAATATACAGTTTAACAAATTTAATAATTTATTTGTTATATTTCATTAAAATTTCTTTAATAATGATAAAAATTATAATGTTAGAATATATACAATATTTCAGTCATCCATTTATCTGATTAACCTCGAAATAAATCCTCTATACGAATTGATTACGGAATTCACTACTAGATGGCATTCCTGTATGAAAAATATGATATTTAGTACTTATATAAAAATAGTTTGAGAAATATAAAAAAAAATAATTCATTAAATATTGAATCAGATCTATCTTTTTATTTTAGGATAATCTATTAAAAAAAATGCAAAAATATTTTTTTTTCAAGTAATAAAATATCATATTTTACAATCAAAAATAATTTTTATCATTATAATCCTATAAATCAAATAATCATTGTAAAGAATTGCATTATAAAAAATATTAAAAAAATATAAACAAATAAAAATTAATTTTATAACAATGTTCCTTTCAATGTTACGATTCTCTAAACAAATGAATATTCAAATGATTCTTTATATGTAAGAGAAAAAAACGTAAATTGCAACCCTTAAAGATTTCACGAGACGAAATAAGAGTGGGATGAGCACATGCTTCTTGACTTTGATTTATGGATAGTTAAGAACCGTGCATTTCTGCTCCACACAGCTAATCCGTTATGCGGTAACTCCCTACAGTAACCACCCGGTGGTCGTCTCGATTCAACAAGTGCGCCCGGACCATGTTTCGCAAACATTGTTAGGCTGTCCGTTCAATTCTTGATCGCGCTCATTGAAATCTTGATTTCAATTGTGCCAATAAATGTGATTGACTATTTTTTAATATTAGACATAAAAAATTATAAAATTCATAGATATCTCGAACTTAGTTGATAAAATAAATATTTATAAATAATATATTTAAATTCCGAATCTATTAGATTTTCTTTTTATATTCTTCTATTACTGATTGATGATTATTTATCATAATATTTCTTCTTTTTAATATATAATAATTCATAAAATGGCATTATATTAATCATAAAGATTAATATGATAAATATTGATAAATATGTATTGGGAAAGTATTGATCGAAAACTAGAAGTACTTTCCTGAGGAAATCGTGTTTTCACCGTAATGGAAGGCGAAATCAAGCTTGCGGATACGATCCCTCATTGTTTTCCCCACGATTCCATGAATCGTCTCTCGAAGAGCTCCGGGACTGGTCGACCCTGTTGGAAGGAGAACCTTCGCGAGCGAGTCGTATTCCAAGTAGGCCGCCGCGGCGGATGTACACCGTCGAATCGAGATTGAGTCGTTGGCTGCTGTTGCTGTTACTACTATAGTATAACTAGTTACTTCTAGAAATCTATAAATTGTTTCTAAGAAAGTGTACTTTTCTTCTCTTCAGAAGTTATTTTTCTTAATAAAATTATTATAATAAAAGTCAAATTATTTTTTTGTATATTAATTAATATTATATTCAAAAAAGTTTCATTTATATTCTTTATTTTTAATTCGAAATTTTTATTTTTCTATTATTTATTTAAAATATGATTAAAATAATAAAACAGTAAATTGCTTCGCATGTTTTGCTATTACCATCGGTATCATTATGAGCGCGCGGTATCGTCTGATGGCATTGCTCGTTTCCTCGGAACTTTTTTTCTCTCCTTTTCCCACTGTTGTTCTTACTAGTTGCACACACATGAAACTCTTCATATTGGACAATATAACGCATCGATTATCTGTTAAATGACGTTCATGCCATCGTACATCCCCTACCCATAGGTCAGCTCTTCGCTACTTCCATTCCCTCAATTTTTGTTTTTGCTTTTTTTTTTTATGAAATCAAACGTCATGTGCAGACCACGTGGATCAGACAAAATGACGAACGTATCGCTAGTGACATCCTACGGCAATTCGTTTAACTAACTGCACTATCAGTGATTCTCAATTAAATTTATATAATTTTTATTTTTTAAAATTTTTCTATTTTTATTTTAGAAATCTTATTTGATTAAACAAAACTTAAACAAGAAGAAGTAAGAAATGATTATTTATTTACTTTTATTCGCATAATTAAATAATAATTAAAAAAATTGAATTTATATATATAAATGAAAATTATTGATATCTAAGTATTTTATCATTTAGAATTATATCGCATGGATCGATTAAATTTCTTTTAGTTGGTATCACTGTAAGTGATGCAAGATAGCATTTATATATTTTACATTCATTAACTAAAAAAAAAAATAAATTAAAAAATTAATTAAAAATTAAAAAAAATAAACATTATTATTTAAATTTTTCTAATATTTGATTTAATATATATTTACTAACAATAGTAATAAGAATAATAAAGTTACTATTAAAATATTTGAAATAATAAAATTAAACTATTAAAATTAATTGAAATAATAATACATATTTTCATAAATTTGATATATATATCTGTGAACGAATATAAGAAGAAAAATGAAAACAAAGACGGAGGAAAAGATAAAATGAAGAGGAGTATTTCACAAGGGGCCCGCATGCTTGCTGATTGAACCCATGAGTAACAACACTCCTCTGTCCCCCTCGCCATTTGTGTCCCCCTTCTCTTCCATGCCCACTCGATCATCCATTCCAACGATGACTTCTTCCAGGCTAGGGTAGGGAGTTGTCTGACGTCATTCTCCAACGTCTGTCAGCGAGCCGACCCTCTGAGTCATGCCGTTTTGCCTACTCTTTTGCTTATAGCAGAATATCGAGACTCGGCAAGGTCTCTCGTGATCATGTCGCTAAATTATCACTTAAGAAAGATTCCTAGCTTATCATTAAAATTTTTTCTTTTTCATTTAAATTTTAAAACTTTTCAATTTCAATTTTTCTTATAATAAAAAGTATAATTTGTTAAATTATTTTAATTTAATTGTAATATTATATTCTTTATAATATAATAATATATCAATATTATTTAATTTTCTATATAATACATAATAATAATATGATAACTATATAATAATAATATTATTTATATAATTTTATGAAAGCAATTTTAAAAATAGATATAAAAGAGAAAAATAGATGTAAAATGAAATATACTTATTTTTTTTATAAAAAAAGAATTTAAAAAAACTAATATAATATTTAATTTATTTATTTTTAGAGTTGTGCAATGATGGGTCTGCAGGCCACGGCAGGGAAACGTAAACTGGAGGGAGGTGTGGGCTGCATGGAGTTCGACATGGATATGGGCGAAAGCCCATCGAAGTTAGGCCGAGTGGAGGGTAGCTGGTGGGCGATGGAGGATAGTTACACGCCCCCGCTTAGCCAAACACCGGCTTCTTATTACGATATGGAAGTGAGTCCGCCTTGCCTGCAGACAAATCCTTGTCAACCAACATCGACGAGTCCTCAACAACAGCAACAACAACAGCAACATCAGACGGCACAGCAACAACAGCAACAATCATCGACGCCAACATCAGCGCCTCCACCGTCTACGGTGGCGCACCTACACCATCATCCGCAGCACTACTATCACCATCAACGCGGACCTACTAGTCCGGTCGGTAATAATGGTTACAGTCAACTGTCGAGGCCTCAGCCGCAATGGGGAGCGCCTCATCATTATGAACCTCCAACGATACGGCGAGAAGAAAACGGAAAAAGTTATTTGGAGCTTGGATCTAGTTATCGAGCAAATGATAGATGCTGCGAAGGTTCGAGGTCAAGTTGGTGTCGACGTGGCAGAGCGTGTTATAGACAAAGACGACTAGCCGTATTAAATATTTCAATGTGCAAGCTGGCGAGGTATCGCCAATTTCCAGATCCAAGCCTTCATCGATCGGTTCTCATCTGCAATACATTGAGGCATCTAGAACGCGAAATGGAGAGGGACAGAAGTCCACCGCCCATGGAGCCAGTTATACCAGCACCTATTGCTCAACTTCAACCTCCTGAGCAGGGCAGGTTAACGCCATTTCCAATGCCACCAACGTCTTCAAACGAGACAGACGTCGATTCTGGTATCGGTGATAGCGATGATAGTCGTTCGATTAACTGGGGCAGTGTGCTATCTCTTTCGAGTCAGTCGCCCTTAGATCCACTAAACAACAACGAGTTACTGGATGTCGATATTGGTCCGGATCTAGATTTAGACTTCATGCCTGGATGGAAATTGACACCTCTATCTGCGGACGATATTCTTAGGAGTACAACGGCGCAAGAACAGCAACATCAGCAACATCATCATCATCAGCAACAGCAACAGCATCTGGTGTCAACCAGCGGTAGCTGTGCCAATAGCAATGTGGCCAGTGCCTGCGTTAGTACTGGAAGTAGCAGTAGTACGCACGAATCGTTAATGTGCGTTGGATCATAGCCCCCAATTTTGACATCGTTGAGTCATCTCATCGATTTTTACCCATTGATGCCGCAGAGCAAATAAGTATGCGGCATTTACAAAGAACCACAAATCAAGATGTAGAGACGACGCAGTCGCCCGCCTCACGAATTATTTGCAACGCCTGGTCGGCGATTCTCCAGGAGGTCTTCTTTTTCTTATTTATTACCATTCGTGTCAATTACGCACCGATCGATTATCTCGGTTACGTTCTACTTCGTATTACACCGGTAACCAGCATGGGTGGTCTACTCCTTATGGACGAGGAGGTATGAGACGTGATACCTCCTGTGTTCGCAGGTGCAACTGGTGCAGAATTCATGGCCCATTGGAAATATTTAAAATTCAAAGGAAATAGAGGTGATTACAATTTTTAAACCGACGAGTACCTAAACTCACGTTGTTTCAATGATATTTATTTACTAATAATTTAATATTTTATACTTTGTTATTATAATTATATTAGATTTAAAAATTATTTACTATTGATTTAATAGAAATTATTTAAATCTTTTTATTATACATATATATATATATTTACACATAATATATAATATATATATATATATATGTGTATGTAATATATATATATATATATAAATATGTGTGAGAAATATATTTTCATATTCGAATGAATTATAATTTTTAGTTAACGAACAACGCGAGATCGGGTCCTCCTCCGGATCATCATCAACGACCACCTCAAAACGAGCCTGGTTATACTATATCGAAACGATCTGTTTTTGCAGCTGCACCTGCGAATTCAGCGGCACATGTATGAGTTCCCGAGTCGCTCGAAATGTCGCCACCGGCACGTCAGACAGAAAGAAATAGAATGAGAGAATGAAAAAAGAGGGAGAAAAGGGGGGGGGAAGAGCGAGAGAAATAGAGTGAGAGAGCGACAGGGAAAAAGAGAGAAAGTGAAAAGAGCTCAATGTTCACGCCCCCGGGCCGGCGATACGGTAGGACAAGTACCTACAGGACCTATGTAGCCTTCGACTCTTTAAAACAACGATGACAAACGGCACGGTACTTCGACAGACTGGAAAAAAAATTTCTTCTTCTTTCTACATTTCTTGATTTTCTTTTAATTTTTTTAATTTTTTTGTTTTTCCTTTTTTTTTTTTACAATTGATTCAAACAGCACGATATCGCTTGCCTAGCTGGCTGACGTTGAGAACTCTTCGGCGATGCCTTGGCGTCGTTTGCGACAGCCAATCGAAAAGGGAGTGTCCATCATCATCGATCGCTGTTTTCTCTTTGGATTAGAAAGACTATCCAGGCGACGATTAATTAATGCCATACACTGTAACACACTAACGATACATTACACGCGTAAGACATAACCGCCGTGGCCTATACCGTACACTGATAAATACATACACGTACACACGCGCGTATACACCCATATATAAATATACATACATATGTATATGTACATCAGACAGATATACAGGTTCGTACACAGAAAAGTCGATATATGGTGCTAGGACGATCACACCCTGGTGCTTAATTCTGTACACACAGAGCCATGTGCGTAAATTCGCACGGATCGCCTGCAGCCTTCGTCGAGGAGTCTAGATACGTCCTGACGTCGTGAACAGAACATAGATGGTCGAACATATTTCCATTGTGTGATATCCGATACGAAGCGAAATTAATTATAGTAGCATCAATATCGTTCCTGAATTCTCGAAGGCTTTCGACGATTATTAAGGGAATATCATATGCCGATGGATGGAGATATGTTAGTGAAAATGCGTACTATGTTCTGACGCACGATGCTAACAAATGTACCTGCATTTTAGAGATCGGGATAAATATCGGTTCCTTCGTATCATCGCACGTAGGCCACTGCGCGCCACTGATCTCCCGTTAATAATATGTACCATAATACTATTGTAAAATAGAGTGGCCGACGAGCAAAGAACGAAGGGAGCCAATAATTCACTTGGAGTGTGGAACGGAGAGATTATTAAGAGAGAAGAAAAAAAAAAAAAAATAATAAAATAAAACTCGACGATACGCACTTCGCGAAGAGGAATGGCGATCCGCGCGCGATCTCGTCCTCAACGTCCACTAACTGAACTCAAAAGAGCAGCTATACTTAAATCGAAATTAAGCGTTGTAAAGCGGATTTAAAAACGAACGATAAAGCGATATACAATAATTTATAAATCGACTGATTACTTGTGTGAGGGAATGAAAAAAGATAGGAAAAAAAGAAAAAACAAGAGAGAAAGAAACGAAAAAAAGAAAACTCTACTGGTAACGTTTCACGAGTTGATTTAAAACTGTAATTAATTCAATATTAAGCCGACATATACATTAACACGAGACATACCATACAAAAAAATCCATTCGTAACATACGATATTTGTATACAGAAATACAAGGAACACGAAATGTACATGTTTATACATGAAATACATTAGATACTTCGATGTATATAGATACACACTACGTACTAAGTCTAATAATTGTTAACGCGAACTCAAGTGAATTTTCGGCAGTTTTCATTTTTTCGTTCTTGTTTTCTATTTTTTTTTCTCTCTTTTTTTCAATTGTTCATGTTAAAAATTTTTAATTTTCTGATTTTTATTCTATTATCATCTTATATTCGATTCAATGTTGATTTATGCCACACTAATCGTCTCATCTCTATTTCGTTCATTAGTTCCTTTCTCATTTTGTACAAAAAGAAAACAACGAGCAATATTACTTTAACGGTGCAGAAAATCTAGGAGAAAAAAAATATAAGTGTATCGATTTCGAATGATATGTGAACTTTTTCAAACATGTAATGGGGACAAATTTCTGTATGTAAAACTATGCTCGATTGAAATATAAATGTGAGAACATAGTGGAAAATACTACAAAATATTGGAAAAATAATAATAATATGTATGGATCAATAAAAATTTAAACTTCAATTTTCATCAATTTTCATAATCAAAGATATTTTAACGAAGTATAAAAAAATAAAGAAAGATGTTCTCATTACGATTTTTTAAGATTGCAAATCATTCGAGTTCTGTGCACAATTCTATTCTACAACCGCATGAAAATGTTAAAACTCAACAGCACATTTATACACAGAACACACAATACATACGCGCACGACGTTGTGTGAAATTACAATGCGCGCTCGATATGAATGTACGAGGACGTTTTAGGATGGTTCAATGTTGTTTTCTTGCATGGTGTACCAATCAGAAACAGCGTGAATTTTAAAGCACGTGGCACACATACACGAGATACACCAACGTATGCTAGGTTGTTAAAGAAATTCGTCCATAGCGTTGATGCATCTCTCAAGTATATGTCTTTTCGTGTTTTACGATCGCAGCGCTACCTCATTGGCTTGGTGTTCTGTGTCGTGACACAAATGACGCCTTAAGATTTCTCTTTCGATACACATTAATATATTAAAAAGTTCTGAGGAGTTAATCAGAAAATCAATACTAATTGATGTATCGAAATTTTATTGATATGAAAATAAAAAAATCATGAATCACGAAATATTCTGATCTCTCGATCAACATTTTGTATAGAATTTGATCGACGAACGGAATACCAAGCAAGTGCGTTTGGAAACTGGACGCGAGATGGTATACTCTCGCTTTTCGGGCATGAAAAAGGAACTCTCGGAAGGTGATAAATAATTTCGTATTTTTTACATGGAAATGTAGCTTCTCTGCGTTGAAACGTATATTAAATACGCGTATACACATATATACACACGGTACCGACGGAGTGCCTGCGATTTTCGAAGATTTTAATGAACGTGGAGAAGAGGAGGCGCGAGCTATACGTGAATCACGAGATGCAGGGAAAACGTAACCGTGCGAGAGAACGACGAAACGAGTTCTATACGCGTGTGTTTCGACAATTACGCCTACGTGCGTGTTAATGTTAACGTTTAAAAAAAAGAAAACGAAAAAAAAAAAATATGGATGTGTAACGAACACTATTTCAGAGAGTTACGATTGTAAATCGAGGAAAAGAAAGAAAGAAAAAGAGGATGAAGGATACATTGTAAATAGTATAAATAGCACACGCGCAGAAGTATGTTTAAGCGGAAATAAAAGATGATATAATAGGTATAATGTGAAGAAAATATACATATATAAGATATTATTATATATTATATATAAACAAGAAGTATATATATAAGATTATTATATATATTTACCGTGGTAAGTGATATACAAAAGCGGTGACGGGGACTCGCGCAATCTCGTTGTGTTCGGATGATGTTGCTGTGATTCGCGGCTGGCCCACGGAGCGATTTACATTGATATTCAGTTTAATTTATAAAGCGTATATCTTGGGGGATATCTCGTTCTTTTTATAACCAAACACGAAAGCTGGTCATTCTATTGTTATCATTCGTTTTTTCATATATGCTCTTCCAAATTGTTTTTTGTGCATAGACATTGATATATTATATATAGTCTTTGATTATTATGTATATGCATGATCATGAATTCTTTCTTTTTTTTTTTTTTTTTGTCGATTCTTTCATTATTTTTTATGTTAGAATGACCAGTTAGACGTAACATATAGATTAGTGAAGTACAAGATGGAATCTATAAAGTTGCGTTTTTTAATTGTTTCATAGTCGGCGGTTTTAACTCAAGAGCCTTAGCTGGATGCCGCCATACAATTTTTAAAGATTTATAGTTAGCTAATGTCGTAGCTGTATTAAAATGCAGTAAAATAAAGAAGTATTGTTTTATAATATCACGTTTGTAATTACTTTTTGTTTAAAATACGAAAAATGAGCATTATAAATAAAAATTAAGAGTTAAAAACAAATTTAATTCTTTAAAATATATTTTTAATCAAAGACATTTTTAAAAATAATAAAATAATTAGTAATAATAAATTTGCATTGGAAAATCAATGTTATTATGTCATCAATTTTTTATTAAATCTCTTAGATTCTCACACTTTATAAAAAAAATATAATAAAATCTTAATAATTATAAAATATATATATGAGTTGCTAAATAAATATAAAAAATTAAAACTGTATAAATGGCAATCATAGATTTTAAAATGACATAAATCTAGGTTAGCGGCAATCAGCTAGGACTTTAAAATGATGTAAAACTACGTTGACAATAGCCAATTTTTAATTAATTTTTAATTTATAGGATAGAAGTTTAATCGTACTCTTTATCGAATTATTTATATATATGTGAATTAAGTGAGATTTATATTAATTTTCTTTATTCATTCATTGTTAATATGAAAGAAAAGAGAAATATTTACATTTTTTATTATATTATTATTATTATTATTATTTTAAATATTACAAATTTTATTTACTAAGAAGATTAATTTAATTGAGCTGCCGCGAAAATGTACGATTAAGTTCCTATTACGATGATATCTAACCGAGAATTAGTTAGAGATATTTTTATTTTAGTCAAATAAAATATGCAGCTCTCGTGTGGCCCGCTTTACGAATGCAACGTCCTCGAATCCTTCTTTTTCTTTTTGTACGATTATTATTTTATTATTATTATTTTATTATTATTATTATTATTATTATTATTAT